TCTTAGAAGTGTGACATAGATCTGTCAGGCTTTTCTGAACCGGGCCTTTTTCCATCTATTTTTTGTCGGAAGCTAATGCAGGAAATAGAGATAGGAGACTATTTCATGTTCAGTTTACATGTTAAACATTTTCAACAATAACATGTAAAAAATGCTCTTTAAACCTGCTCTTTAAGTGTTTTATTTCAAAAAAAGGATAGATTTGCCTCTTCCTCTTCTTCGATGGTGAATGGCCGACTGCCACGTTGACTAATTTCCTTAACGATAAATATGTTGCGTTGTTCATTGCTCTAATTAGTCCAAGCGCTGTTCATCTGCATGTGGGGACAGTTTGAAAGACATCTGTAGTTTTGGCACCATGACTGAGCTCTTTTACATACATTTATATAGAATACCCATCTGTTTCAGTGCTCTAATAAGACACTGGAATTATACCTGCCTGCTCTCGAAGGGTCCTCGCTTCAGCTCCTGACCAGACTTGGACCCAACCAGGAACCCGTCAACAAAGAGAAACTGCTGCAGTTATTTCTTCTTTCTTTCATTATTTTTTCAAGACCTTTAGGCAATGCTTGCCTAGTTTTGGTCCTCATTTCAACAGCAGACCACACCTGTGACTAAAAGTCTTTTCCACACTCAGCAGGCTGCATTTTTCCACCAAAGAAAATTAATTGAGCCCTGATGGAAAAGTTTGAGAACCATGAAAGAAGCAGGACACAAATTTGTAAATACCAAGAAACTGAGCTTCCATGCTTCCTTAATTATCTTCTGGGAGACACTATATTATTATTCATAAAAGCAGAAGGAGAGGGGGAAATTCTCCAGAGTGTGGAAGGGCAGAAAAGTGAGCGAGCTGGGAGCTAAATGGACCAATTAGTGAGCAAAACGTACACATCCCTTTTGCTCTCAGGAAGAACGTTTTAAAGATGTCACGCAGGCAGCAAGCATTACCGAAAAATCAGTAAAGCGGTCATCTAAATAAGGAAGAAGGACACAATCTACTCTCATGGTCTTCCAAAATGTTTTCAAAATAGAGAGAATCTCAAAAAGCACACAAACAGGTCCCAAAGGGCTCCCAATACCACTGCTGAATATTCTGAGGATTATCTTAAAGACGTGGAAAATGTTAGCGCTGCCTCCCGTGGCACACAAAGGCGTCTCCGCTCACTGTCCCCTCTCCTTCCCTTTGTGTCGCCTCGTCTTCTGTCCTGACACTTTCTGTATGTCAGCGGGTGTTGATGCAGAATCGGTGCGTTAAGGCCAATCCTCCTCAGCGTGCTCTCATTCTGTCACTGCTTTCTGCTCTGGACGTGTGTGGAGATGTGTGTGTGTGTGTGTGGGGGGGGGGGTAGCAGGTGGTCGGTTCAGCTTCACCTGTTGCTAATGTGATGGAAGCATCCTGAAAACTTTATTTATAGCTCAAATACATTTGATTCGCCTTACACACTCAGGCACGGATTTTTATTGGATTGCTTGATTTCATTCTTGCTAGCTGAATAATTGAATAAACAAAAACAGCTCGCTCCTCAAGCTGCCTCTCGTTTACACACTCGTCTGTCCACACAAAGCCAAAACCATCTCTGGGTTGTGTGCAGCGAGGAGCCAGGCTCACTTCATTTATCTTGTTTTTGTCACATTAAGGCAGACTTAATTAGATCAGACCAAATGCAAAACCAACCAGCTCCACGTTATACAAAGAAGCAGGCAAAGGGACGACACGCCGCAGATAAAAGACTCCATCACACTGTTGTCATGAGCCTCAGAAGCAGCCAGGAGGCAGATTTGGTGTGACAATGAAACACGGCTAATCCTCCAGGGTCACAAAGCCGCCGGGACAGACTAACAGCTTCACGAGACAAAATGAGCAACGCCGAGCGGCGGTAAATCCATCACACTTCATGTCATACAGCAACTATCCTGTCAGGGGGAATCAGGGCTGTTAAAACGTGTTATGCAGGCGTCAATCAGCCCTCCCTCCATCTCACGGCCATCTTTCCTGTTTATGAAGTGAATATTTGGACTTCTGCTGATCTGGAAGGCCAGATTTTTCACATTCAGGAGGTTAATGACACCGAGGGCAGGACCCTCTTCTGCTCCCAGTCCGCTAAAGCAGATGGACACAATTTACTCAACATGCTCAAATCTGGCTCAAGGTGGCAATGCTACTGAGGGAGAAACTCTATATGGCCTCATCAAATGAACATTTATTTTATGCTGAAGTCTTTTCTTTATCTCATAACACAGATGAAAGAGTGTGGAAAACAAGCTGTGTCATTATTTCACCGCTTTAAACGCACATGTTCTCCTCCAGCTCACCCCAACCCTTTTTCTTTCTCCTTCCACAGACTTTTATTTTAAACATTGGTGATCAGAATTTTACCACAGGATTTCAAATGTTGAATGTAATGCAGGGAGTCATCGATGGGTGAGCCAGCTGCAGCTCAGAGGGGTCTGGGGTCCCATTAAAATTCTGCTAATTCACACAGCTTCAGTGTGCAAAAACACATGAGTAACAGCCAGAAATTTCCTCTGAAATGATGCATTTTTACCTTTCCTGTGGAGAAAAACAAAGTGAATATGAGAGGGAGGCAGAAGAGTGATGAGCATCACGTGGGAACCTCATGATGGACAAAAACCGTTGGATAAGCTCTTCCAGCATATTAAGATCACCAGAGTGGGTTAGCTAGAGAAGATTCTCAGATTTCAATACAAAAATGCTACGTTCAAGAGATTTAGACCCCAGGACCTCAGCTAACGTAGAAAAAGGAACGAGGAAAAAAATTGGTTCAAATTTTCAAGAAGGGGAGTCGAAGGAGTAGAAGGAACTGAATTTATAAAGTTAAAAGTGTTCTTTAGAAGAAACACGTCCTCTAAGTTCTTCCAAACACTGTGTTTCGTTATCTTGAAAGAATAGAGGATTTGTTCCCTGTGTGGGCAAAAAATAGAAAAACACTCTGGTTTTAGAAAAGACTGGAAAATGGGGAATTGCTAAAAGCTAGTACTGCACTTTATTTATTTATTTTTTTTAGTAATTAGGAGAGAACAGTTAGTCTTATCTTAATGTATAAAAACACAATCTTTCTTTTTGCCCTCTTGGTAAAAATAATAACATTACATTATAACTACTTATTAAGCAACATTATACATCTGTGATCTTCTTAGTCCCAGCACCCCCAGCAGGTCCCTGAGATCCAGTGACCAAGGCCTACTGGTTGTGCAGCACCAGGCTAAAGGTCAAAGGTGACAGATCATTTGCTGCTGTGACCCCCAGACTCTGTCTCAGTCAACTTGACTTGCCTTGATTCAAAACAGCAAACTCGACATGAACAGGCAGTGGGCTGTTTTAGGGTGACCTGGCACTGGAGCTGTGGCCACAGGCAGTTCATTTGATGGTGAGCACAAGTGAGCATGGTTTGTGAGTGCAGAGAGGCATGTCTTCATCCCACAATTAACTTGAACAACTTTTGCTATTTAGTGTCAATAAACAAACAAAACAAAACAAACAAAAAAACAAAAAATGAAACACACAAGAGAAAATGACAGACTAATATTACATGCAATATCCTCCAATGTGCTGAAAGTCTTTTCGAAGCTCGTCTGGTCTGGTGAGCTGAGGAGTTGTTTTGGAGATGTGGCTTTCTTTGGGTGAAAGAAAGTGGAAGCAACTGACTTGGGGAACACCATGGCCACGCACGTTAATGACAGCGTCATGCTTGAGGATGTTGCATCAGCCAAGGCACCAGGCTTATTTCCCATCACCAGGTCAAGAGTGTCCAAAGAAAAGCAGACTGCATGGAGATTTTCAGGGAATCAACTTCCCACACAATAAAAATTTGATTTAGCAATGAAAACAGCATCCAGTCCAAGTGCACAAGAAATATGTGGCAGAATGTAATGTTTTGGCCAAGAAACCTGTCATCAGCTGGGCTTCACCTCTCAGCAACCGATCATAAAACCCGTTCTGTGAAGCGTTTAGAAACGCAGGTCACTGATGCGATGATGTCTGAAAGCAACTTTTATTTAGCCATCCTTGCTTCAGCAACGTCAGTTCATGGTGTTTTGTTTTTATCTTCACTTTCAAGCAGGCTAAGATCCGCACTCAGCTATTATCTGAAAATGTGAAGCCCACAGTTTCCTAAAATAACTCTGAGCCATATGTGCTGAATTTGTCATTACCTGCACTGTGCTCTGATTTTGCTCAGCTCTCTGTGGTCAGCGGTGAAACTTAGGATCCAGCACACTGAAACTACATCTTTGAACCTCTCGGGACAACGGGACAGAGGGAGAAGGGGAAGCTGAAGGGAGGATTTGGGAGGTCAGATCTTTATTTCTGTTCTCATCCAGAATCTGATGCTCTCAAACTTTCACTCATTGCCATCACCACCCTCCTTTTGAAGCTCCACTCTCTCTTCCTCCCACACTCTGTCTGTCTCTTGGGGATTGTTCCTTCCTGACTTTGTTTCTTCTACCTCTTCCTCCACCCTCATCCCTTCGTTTCATCCCGCCGCTGGAATGTTTGGTGGCATTTAGTTCTCTCCACTTCAACACTCGCTGCTCCTCTTGGTTTAGCACAGCTGTCACACACACACACACACACACACACACACACACACACACACGCACACACACACACACACACACACACACACACACACACACACACACACACACACACACACAAAGAGAAATAAATCACTATAACACACACTCCTTCCTTGTACTTCCTGTCTTTTTTCTCCTTCGCCCTCACCCCCTTTCCTCCCTCCTTGTGTGTCTTGCTCTGCACATACTTGTGCATTCATACATTTATGTGCATGCAAACCTACCGACTTACTGTTCTGAGCCAAATATCCAAATATCTGCAAACTCACACTTCTTTCTTCTCACATTTCCAGCTTCTTTGCAAGAAGGGACACACACACACACACTTTTACCTACCAGCTCTCTCTCCAGCACACATTGGTACAGCCTTTCTCCTCCCTCCCAGTTAAACACACGCACACACACTCTCTTCCTCTCTCAGTCCTCATCTGCACCTCGGCAGAGTAACATGTTGTCTCGCCACAGCGTGGAGCTTTGTGCTGAGGGTGCCAGCTCCCCGACACCCTGACCTATCGGAAATGTGAAGCAAAAGCTGGACGGAAAGTCTCATCTCCCTTCCTTGGAGCCCAAACAACCCTCTCTGACAGCAGCAGCAGGAGGAGGAAGATTGCTTTTCACACTGTCCTGACTCAGTTTGTCACCTCCAGCAGAAGGAGCGACGGAGGATGCGAGGGAAGCTGCCGGAGCTGGAAAGTTGTCTCTCTTCAACTCAGCTGTGCATTCATCAGTTGCCGCTGAGCAAACTTTTCTGAGAGAGGAAGGGGTGGGGGTGGGGGGCGGGGGACACTCAAAGGGTGAGAAAACACACCTCACCCCACTTGCCTCCCTGTGAACTCCCTGTGTTTTATAAATCCGTCAGGGCGGAAGCAGCATCATCTGTTCACTGGCAGCTACTCATGTGGCAGGAGGCTCTGTGGACCCGCGGACGCTACCTGCTGGAGAAGAGCGATGGAGGCGAGGGGGTCGAGGGCTCTGAGAGCCTGGGGGACGGGTGCCCCGGGTTCCAGAGCGAGGTGTGCCTCGATGACGAGAAGCCTCAGGACTGGCTGTATGAGTCGTACTACAGAATGAGCCAGCAGCATCCGCTGATCGTGTTCCTGCTGCTGATCGTCATGGGAACCTGCCTGGCACTGCTGGCTGTGTTCTTCGCTTCAGGACTGGTGAGTGTGTGTGTGTGTGTGTGTGTGTGTGTGTGTGTGTGTGTGTGTGTGTGTGTGTGTGTGTGTGTGTGTGTGTGTGTGTGTGTGTGTGTGTGTGTGTGTGTGTGTGTTTACACAGGACTGTAGAGCTGTGGGTAGATGAGCTCAGGAACAGGAGGTCATTTGGAGTTTGAGCCTAATAATAAAAACCAACGCATCACAATCCTCCAGACAGGAAATGGAATAAATAGCAGTAATCTATTTTTATATTCCAGGATGTACACTTTTTCATTGCCAGGAGCTAAATGGAACCATGACAATATATCTGAAAAGTAATTAAGCTGTGATTTCACCGTGATGCGTTGACTCCTACCACTGAGGAGACAGACGTTTTAACTGGTTTATCAGCACAACAGCAGACAGGACTGGGCTGCAGGCAGACCGGTCCAGCACCCAGACGGGTACTTTAGGAATCCAGAAAGTGGTTTTGGAGAGTGAAAATAGCAAAGCCTTCTCGATTAATGAATTCATCCAGATGGCAGCATGAGTCGCCCTGCATATGCCATTCAGCAATAATGATGCCTTCATCCTGTCATAATTGCTGACTGTTGGAGTGTCTACTGATAACAAGCTGTGCAGTTCATCTCCTCTTTGGCTTGGGAGGATGTGAGAAATCTTACTTTAGATCTGATTTACCAGCAGACACTTACCTCATCTTAAGGTGTCAGTACTGCTGAAGCTTGTTTAGACTCCGATTTCTGGAGTTTTAAGCCTCATTTGTGAATGCAGTGATTAATGTGAATGTGTGTTTGTTGAGAAAACGGCTTTCGAGTGTGTCTCTGGGTCCATGCTGTGATCTCCACAATAGATGCATGATAATGCACAGCTGCCAGAGGGCCTGACAATTACAGGCACTGGATGTTTATTTTCAGACTGGTCTGGTACATGCACGGATTTCTATGGATGTCACTGCTAACGAGTTTGTATCATGTAGACCTGAAAACTTCCCAAAAACTAACTTTGTAGTAATCTAAGCTGAGATTAAATATTTATACTTGGATAAATATAAAGTTTTAATGAATGGTGTGTGCATATACATTATTGTAGGTGTGTGACATTAATCATCAAACTTAAACTGTATTTGTTTATAAACCATAAAAGATATCAATCGTGTTACGTTTTTACACTCAAGCGTGCCTGAGCTATTTACAGTGGCGCCCCAAGGGATGGCCATGGGTGCCCCTGAAAACCTCTGGCCACCCCACTAGTCACCTTACTAAAGATCAGTGTTATTTATAAATACTATTCCAGTTCACACAAACCATCAATCCGTGTCATCATAATAAATGTAAAACTCAATTAAAATATACAATTAATGAGTAAATAATCAGAATTTAAAGAATGTAAATATGCCTCTAAATATGCTGTTGACCATAAAAAAAACCTTGAAATAAAAACGTTTTATTTTAATTGTCTTTCTGTAATTTAAAGGTAAATGTATTTTATGCACATTGTTTTTAAATGAAAGAATCAAGTAGCATGTCTGTGAAGGTTCTCAGTCATCCAGGTCATTGTAGTTTAATGAGCTTTGAAAGAAAAGCATCTGGACTTCTTTGAGTTGCTTGAAGACGTTTCACCTCTCATCCTGGCTGCTTCAGTTCTAAGGTCAAATGGTGGAGAGTCCCACATTTAAACCCAGTAGGAGTTTCTCCCCAAAGAGGGAACAAAAGACCCCCTGACGATCTTCTACATAAACTCATGAGCCAAGGTGTGAGGGTGGGTGTGGGTCCTATTCAGCCAGAGTTTCAGGTGAGCTCATTGTGAAGCCTGGCCCCACCCTATCATGTGAATTCCTGAGGTCAGATGGCCCAGGATATGCGTGGGCGTTGAGGCATCTGGGAAGGGATCTCAACACTGGATTATAGATGGCAGACAGTTGGTGTCGTAAACCACCGCCTCTGTTCAAAGATGGTTGCTCACAGTGGACATAAATCTTGTCCACTGAATTTGAAGATTTGAATCTGGGACTCTCCACCATTGACCTTAGAACTGAAGAAGCCTTTTGGATGAGAGGTGAAACGTCTTCAAGCAACTCAAAGAAGTCCAGACGCTTTTCTTTCAAAGCTCATTAGACAATCAAGTAGCATGCACTGCGTCGGTCACCACAGGCTAAACTTTCCCAGAGTTGCTACAAGGAACAATTTGTTGTGCAACCCCAAATATTTGGGGATTGCCTAAAAGGGGCAGGGTTTGGGTTTTTTCAACTAGTTTAAAGGTTAAATATGGAACACAAACACCATAGTGACATCTAGTGTGTGGAGGTTGTAGTTGCAGCAACAGAACGAGACTTCCAACTGTCTGGAAACCAGGTTCACTGTTGCTCTGTGAAGTGACCAGCCAGCACCATGTCTAGTAACAAATCGTACAAAGTATTGAACAATTTCTACTAATAAGTTTATTTTTACAACAATATTTAACGTTAGAACTTCTTCTGCCGAGTCCACCCTTTTCCACAGTGCCAATCTTGCTGTGCCGAGGGAACGATTCACTGTATTTGGTACCCTTTATTGACCGATGTAAACATTAACCCAGTGATTATTTTTTTATTAAAATATAGTTTTTAAAGGAAATACTGTACCGTCATTCTGCACACCGCTAAACATCCCATGAAGGCATCATTTTTAAAATTATGGCTTTTTATTAAAGTGTTCCGTGTTGAACCTTTAACAAAAATCTCACTGTTACCCTTGTCTACATTGTACAACATACAGCGACTAAAAGTCATTTTTCCCGATTAAAATGTGTGTTGACTTCTTATTTAGAAGCTGTGAGATGTGAAAACAGGAATCTGCTACCAACACACCTCCTGTATGGCTCCTCTGATCACATTTTTAACTCCCGGACAAAGAGTTTTGCTTTTATGGCTGAATGGGACGTGATATGGGGGGGGGGGGTGTAGATGCGTATGACCATGTGTGACGGCGTGAGTGGCGTGAAGCATCTGGATGGCTCTGTCAAGTGGATGATGAGAGCAGGATGAGGGTTTAGCTCGCTGCTGCGTAGGAGTTGGTGCTTTTGTCAAATGAAAAGTGTTGTTTGGCGACAAACACTCAACCGCAAACACAAGCTTTTGTTTCTCAAGTGCTGCTTTTGTGGTTTTATGAAATTGGCTTACAAAGACAGGCCCACTCGGCATCATTGTTGTTATGGTCTCAGATAGATTGTTTTCTGCTACTTGTTTAGGACGGTTTGTAGGTTCGTGTTTTATCCTCCGTGGGCGGGTCCCAGCGTCCCAACTTCAGAGGCTGATCCTGAAGTTCCATTATGTTCATTTCAGCTCAATAATAAGCTTGTTTTCAGGAACGCCTCCATTCAGATCAATTCTTTTCTGTTCATCTGTTTATGACAAATCTATAGATTTTACTCCCCTTGCTGCTCAGTTTCACTCAGCATGTTCGTCCTCCGCCCAAATTACAACCCGCCCCATCTCCTCCTCAGGAATTCACCACCATTCACAATGAATACGGACTAATTTTACCCTCTTCAAATTGAATATTCGACAGGCTTTGTTTGTAGTGATGAAATGTCTGTTCAGACAGGCGTTTGTATTTATTACTGATGGGTGAGGAAGAACAACAGGAATAAATACGATGGGTGGGGTGTGTTCTGGCTTTATCATGGAGCCGGCCAGAAGTCCAACCACAGCAGCACTAAAGCTACTAAATCACTTTTATCTTTCTACTCAGATCAGGGCCAAAGCGGGTGAACGTGGTGCTTTTTTTTAAGAAGTAGCCTCCAGTGTGTGTTTTGTTTGGATGAGTTTGTCGAAGGAAGTGTGTCATTTCCTTCTACAGCTTATCTGCAGCTTTTATTTTTTCAGGGAAAAATGACTTTTTTTGGTCTTTTTGTTGTGTGTGTGTGTGTGTCCCAGCAATTACATGGCAATGTGCACATCTAGCGACATTTTAAAACTCATTATGGCAGCTTAATTAAAGAGAACATTACATCTGATATGAAACAAACTAGCTCCCTTTAATTTTTTTGACCGATTGCAAATCAGCATTCTTCTGTTAACAGCGATGATTTCAATTTGTTCCAGCCGGTTTTATGTGTATCTAACATCTAACCCTTTTTTCTTTTCGTTGTTTTTACAGTTGATTTTCATGCCTAGCTCACTGACAGTTAGACACAGAGCAGCCAGAATGTCTGTTTCTGTGGCGATGGATCACTCGCAGTTACCAGGAGGGGAAAAGCAGGGTGAATGTGTTGGAGCAGATGCTGAGATATCTTCCACCAGGTGTGGTCAGAGAGCATCACCATGGACCCAAAATGATGCACACAGATGAGCTATAAAATCTAAAAAAACAAAGAAAAAACGATCAGCAAAATAACGTGCATGTATAAAAGGTTGCATGATTGCAAAGAAGTTTGCGTAATATTTGCCTCACGTGTCTTCTGAATTAAAGCAGCACAAAATTAGTTTCCTGCTACTCCCTCCTGTTGGTTAAAAGCAGAATTACAACCCTGCTGCAGCAGGCTAACTATAACACGAGCCAACTGATGCTAAATAAGCCACATAGAAAAAATATCCACACTGTTAAACACATCATTTACAAGTTCAGTAGCAACAAAGCCAGGTCACAATCAGCCTGTGGTTCAGTAGCCTCCTTCAGCTCCCTCAAACGATTGTCGGCGCACCGATGTTCACTCTGGTTTTAGCTCTTTGCTTTGCCTCCACAGACAGTACTCCAGGCTCTGCCATGATGTCAACAAAAAATATCAACAATCTTTTTTTTCTTCTTGTGTTTTACTGACGGCTAGTGAACTAAAAGAGCTAACTGCTTGCCTTTATACACACTCAGGAATTAAAGTACAAAATTGTACCTTTAGGGGCAAGGGGTCTTGTCACTGGGGTGGTACCCTCAAAGGTACCATTTTGAACCTTCACCTGTGGGTATAAATCAGTACCCTTGTAGTCTGTACCTTTTTACACGCCAGACCTTTATATAAAGTATAAAAAC